TTCACCTGCACAGGAGAAGCTTTGGGGGGAGCTCAGGGTGGCCTTGCAGGGCCTGAAGGAGCCCCAGGAAACCTGGAGAGAGACAATTGACAAGGGCTGGAGGGACAGGACACAGGGAATGGCTCCCACTGCCAGGGGCAGGGATGGATGGGATACTGGGAAGAGCCCATATTCCCCATTTTGTTGCCACTTTTGGGAACATCTGCTCCAGCAGCAGAGCCCTGACACAGTCAGTGTTCCTTGGCTGCCAGTAGGCAGGACCCCCCACTGTAAGGGCATCAGGTGCCCAGCCCTGAGAAAAAGGAAAATTGCTGGGCACAACATAAATCCATGGGGAAACCCCTGATTAGTTTTGCAGGCAGGATTTGTTCTACAGAAACAATAGAACTCAGGCTTGAACCAGGAAAAACCTTTATTCCCCAATGGTTAGTATTTTAACAAGTATTCCCATGTGCAGTACAAAAACTGTCCATTCAAAGCTCTGGATATTCAGCTGGCAGAAGGGCTCATGGCTAAACTAACAGTGTCAGGGACATTTAAGGAGTCTGGATTATTTCACAAACCCAGGGTTTCCTGGAAGACTGCAGGGAATCCAAAGGGATCCAACTCTTATCTGGAGAGCAAAACACTCCTTTTGTTCCAACTTTTGCATTTAAATACCATTTTTGTCTGAAGCCCTGTGGGTCATCTTGCTCCTCCCACCAGTTCTGATGTATTTTACATATTCATCAGCCTTTTCCAACCTTCCTTTGTGGGCTCACTTCCCCCCAGGCCTAGGGATAAGAGCTGGTGCCTCACTACAACCTCTCCAGTCTCTATTCTAAAATTCTGCTGCACCCAACAGCCTTGTAAGATAATGAAAAGCAAACTGAGCAAGCTTAAATATAAATACATTTAATTGAGGTCATGTAAAAATGTATTTCCAACAAGCAATGAGAGGAGATTAACAATAAATTGTACACAGAATTCTTGTTATACCTTGCCCCCAACCACCTTTGATGTTTCCAATTCCTACATCCACATTCTGAAAACAAATTCTCCAGCTGCCCCATTTAAACTGTGGGCTCCAGGTTTCCATCTTCACCTTTCAAACAAGGCTCTTCAAAGCAGCATCGACAGCTTTACTTCTGACCACTCCTGCTGCTCCAGGAAGCCCCACACCAACAATTTACCTGTAATAAAAACCCAATAAAGAAAGTTGAAAAGAGGACTCCTATTAACCCTTAGCACTGACCAGTCAATTAACTGACATTCATTTTTATATGAAAGATGCACATTAAAATATCTGCAACAGAATTTTTTAATTTTCTGTGTGTTGTCTGCATCCAATCTAGGCTTTAACTCCACGGGCAGGAGTTACTCCACTCTCAGGCATGCAGAGTGCTGCCAAAACCTGGCACCACTGAGCACCAGGACGGCCTCGCTGGTGCCAGGAAAGCTCAGCAGCACCTTTCTCTCCCAGCAGCATAACACTGGCACAGGCACTGAGCAGCCACGAGCAGCTGACTACTGCTGGGAGACAAAAACCCCAAAACTGGGGGGTTTACAGGGCAGAAAAAACGTGGAGGCACTTTTCTGATAATGCCTACTCTCATCAAGGCTTCAACCAGCAAGAGGAATAGATAAGCTAAACTTACTTCTGGATAAACCACGTTATTTCCACCCTGAGGACCTGAGGCTAGCACAGGAGCCAGCAGAGGCCTTTTAGTTAATTCTAAGACAGCAAAACAGTTTTGCCCATTTCTCCTGACTGGCTCATGGTCACACCTCACCCACGCGGCTCCAGAGCTTTCGCTGTGTCCCACGGGCAGGTTATCCCTTCACATCTGCTCTCCCAGGCTCCAGCGCCCTCCCGGAGCGCCTCCCCGGCTGTCCCAGCCCAGCACAGCTCGGGGTTCCACACACGACGGGGCCGGGGCACCTCAGGGGGCTCCTTCGGGCGAGTCATCGCCATCGGTCATGGGCTGAAGGCCTAAAGAGAGGACAGCAGAAACATCGCAAGTAAGCCATTAGTTCAATCTGCATTCACAAAGCTCAATAGCAGCGGCCTGGCTTGTGGCAGAGGACAAAAGCCAGCACACCGAGNGGCTGTGCCCGGGGTATCCGAGGCGTCCGGGGGATCCAGGCTGTCCGGGATATCCACAGTATCCTCTGGTCCCCACGCTGTTCTCTGTGTCCCAGGGCACGCTCACGGGCAGCTGGCCCCGCCCAGCCCCAGGCCGCTCTCCTCAGCACCACGCAGGTCTCACCATCGCTAAAATATTCCAAACTCTGGCCTCTCGCTGGCTGTGAGGCCGTTAGAAGGTTCTGGTAAAAAGGCCCTGCAGCCGATGTGCAAGGCTGTGCTGTTCCTCTGATCCAACATTGCCACCTTGTGCTGGATGAGGAGAGGTCCCTGTGCCGCTGCCCTCCTGAAACCCGTGAGCTGTCACCAAAGAACTCGTACAACCCCTCGAGTACTATTCGTAATCTGGATTTACTCCGTAGTAATTCCAAATTCAACATCTTTCTCCCTATTTAATTTTGTGGCCAAAGAACCGGTCTCTCCATCAGCCTGGAAACGGCTGTGCTCCAGCAGCTTTAGGAAGGTGAGGGTGTGTACGTGAATTCAGGGAAAGCTCCAGGGAAAAGGAAAAATCTGCCTCTTCAATTCGTCACAGGCTGACTTTTCTTCTCTGTAAGTGGCTGGAGAGCACAATGAAACAACAACACAAGGTATTTTTAAAAAATGGAAGTGGTACAATATATGTGTTGAAATAACATGGAAATGCTCAGAGAACAATCACAAGAGATCCAGCTCTTAACAAGCTCAAGGTAAAAAAACAATGAAGTGCTCAAAAACAAGCCCATAAATCTCAGTTAACAATCTTCCTGTGCTGTGGTGCTGCAGAGCAGTAAAAGCAGAGCAAATGTAAAGCAATCCAGCCACTTTTGCCTAGCAGAAGTCATATATGGATTGCAAAATGTATGGTTCTTCTGAACAGAACCATAAATCACGTTGTCATTTCGCAAGAACGAATGCAGGTCCTGCTCCATTTCCTGGCTTTATTTCACTGCCAGTCTTGGACCTCATGGGTTCTCTGCCAATTCCCTTTGCTGTCCTGCACTGGGGGCACCAGAGCAGGTCCAAGGTGACTCATTCTGAACTTTACTGCTCAGCTGTGTGCTGCACAAGGAGCTGCACGGTGCTCACTGTCCCCTTCCTGCACAGGGGACACCCTGAGCTCCAGATCCCGGGCTGACCACTGCAGAACCTTCAGGACATCCCTAACTTTTATTTCCCAGTTTTGCACAAAGCTGGAAGCTGGACATGCCCCAGAACCCAGACCACACCCCATGAGCCCCAGCATTGGCAGCAGGGCAGGGGGGGTTCTGTCCCTGTGATGCCTTGTGAGGGCTGACCTAAAACAGAGACTAGACTGAGCTAAAGAATAAAGTAGGGATTTATTAAGAGGCCTCAAATAGATCCACCTTGGGCAGCACAACCCAAAATGGGCACAAAATGGACAACAGGTCACGGGGTCTCACACTCTTGGTCCATTTGCATATTGGAGCTAATTGTCCAATTCCAGCTTTAGCCCATGCAGCCCCATTCTTCTTGTTTTTCTCTCTCCAGCCCACAGC